AAATTTTGTCTAACTCAAAAAAAAAAAAAAGAAAAACAATTAGATCTGCCAAAATATATTTATTTCTACTATTTTACCAAATTAATATGAGGTTGGAGTTATGATGCTCACAGAACAGGTTATTCCTTTAGACTAAGATACTACAGAGTTCATTTAAATCTTACCTTTGGGGAGAGAATAAGTTGCAGAATTACTTTGCTCCAGACTGATCACTCCCAGTAGGAAAACCAGCTTGCTCATACTCAGAGGCATTTTCAAACTCAAATTCTTCAGTTGGAAATTTAGAGAGACTAAAAAGAAAGGAAAAAAAAAAATACTTAGTTGGAAGACCAGCAGTAGAACAATTTAAATTTATTCATTGATCAAAATTCATTAAGTTTACCCATTAATGAAACTTAAGGCATTCAAGCATGTCCACAGAATGTTGCTGAAAATAGGGTTTTGAGAAGTCTTTTGCAAGATGTGGACAACCAGCGAAAGTAACAGAATCTGGATGGAGCAGTGTTACAAATTCTACTACACCTGCGTCAATTAGTGGCTGTCCCCAGAACATTTTTGTCTAGCAGAGTGGTTGGTCTGTGATTTTCATTTATAAGAGTCACTCACTCCATTGGAGAGGTTACCACTTTCTACAAGAGGACTGAATGCCAACGTTGCTCTTGTTTGCAAAAGTAGATTTTCTCTGTAGGCAAGCAACTCATTAAAAAATGTTAATTTTTTCTTTTGCTTGTTTATCAGAGACAGTAACTAGATAGCTATTATTGCTGTGAAGGAGAGGTGAGGAACAATAATTAAGTAGCATATACAGGGAGTCACTCTGGGGCGTTTGTGAATCTACATTCTCCTTTTCTCTTAATTTGCAAAACGCCAACATTAAATCTTCACTACTACATCTGGCAGATGTCAAGACACAGGAAAAAGGCTATGATTATCTGCAAGTATTCTTCTTGGCTGAGTTCTTGGCCTGTGGTCAGTGTGCAAAACTTGCATGTGGGTTGGCCAATGCTGTCTACCACACAGCAACATGAAATGCTTCTTTAAGTGTTTTATAAATTACCTGCTAAAAATAGCAAATATC